TCCCTCCCTCCCTCCCTCCTTCGCCACAAGACCGAGAAGCGAAAATACGCAACACGTTCCGATAAGCGATCTCACCCGCGCCGACGCCGATCGCCGATTCCAAGGATCGGCTTATCGGGGGGCCCTATCGGCTCAGGCGGACGTTTATCTGATGTCGGCGGGAGGGGGTGGGGGGTGAGAAGGAGGTGGGGAGGGGGAGGGGAGGAGGAGGGGGGAGGGGGGAGGAGGAGGAGGAGGTGGGGAAGGAGGAGGAGGAGGAGGAGGAGGAGGAGGAGGTGGTGGGGAAGGAGGCGAAAGGAAAGGGAGTGCAGGGAAGGAGGTGCAAGGAAGAAGGTGCGGGGAAGGGGGGAGGGGGAGATGAGGGGAAGGGGGGGAGGGGGAGATGAGGGTAAGGGGGGGAGGGGGAGATGAGGGGAAGGGGGGCGATGGGGATGCGAGGAAGGAGCGCGGGGTTTAGGAGGATAGGGTAGGAAGAAGGAAGAAGGAAGGAAGGAAGGAAGGAAGGAGAGAGAGGGCGAGAGGGTGAAGAGGCGGGAGGAGGTGGAAAAACAATGAAACGAGAAGCAAGAAGGGGAGACGGAAATGGAACAGTGAGAGAGAAAGACAAGAAAAGAAAGAAAGGGGATGAGGAATAGTAAAATATGTGAATGAAAAAACAAAAACAGCAGGAGTATAGAAGAAAACGGAGGAAGAAGAAAAAGAAAGAAGGCGTAGGGAAAAATAGTAGTTGGAAAAGAAGAAATAAAAAAGAAGGGACGAAAGAAGAGAGAATACAATAAGTAGAATGAGAATTAAAAAACAAAACAAAAAAACTTGGAGAGAGAGAAGAATAAAAACAGTTAGCAGAGATAATGAAAGCCAGACGGAGACCACAGAAAGGAGAGGGAGATGGAGAGAAAACGACTTGCAAGGATGGGGAGGCTGTGGATGCAACACACACACACACACACTCGCAATAATGCACTCGTATTCACTCACAAAAAATAACTCCCCTGACGTGCCAATACCCAGTCATTTCAACGGGGTTCTCGTCAGCGTCATAATTACAATCATTACTGAAATAATCAACTTACTCATTCGTCATCACCCACTTCCTCGTCCTCATCATCTACTTTCTCTTCTTCTTCTTCTTCTTCACTCTCATCTTTCTACTTTCCCTCCTTGCTCGTTTCAACTCCACTTCGTCCCCCCCCCCTCTTCCTCCATATTCCCCCACTTTATCTACTTTATCCATATACCCACTTTCCCTCCTTCCTCTTCTATACCTCCTATCCGTTCTCGCCCTTCTTCCTTCGCTTTTCCCCCATTTCTCTCCTCTCTCTTCTTCTTCTTCCTCCTTCCCAATTCCTCTCTGCATTCCCCCCTCCCTCCTCTCTCTTCTTAATCACCCTCTCCTCCTCTTATTCTTTTTGGTACTTCTTCTCCCCCTCTCCCTTCTTCCATTCTTCTACCTCCCCCCTCCTCCTCCTCCGCGACGCCCGCACGCACGAGCTTAGTGCCCGGCCGGAAATGGGTGCACAAGAGCGGGTTTCGGGTGCCCGCCGGTGCGCTCCTCCTCCGCTCATGCCACCTACCTCCCCCCCCTCTCTCTCTCTCTTTCTTCTTCTTCTATTCTTCCTTCCATTGCAATTCTGTTTAATGCCTCCCCCCAACTCTCTTTCACCCTTTCCCTTCCCTTCTCGTTTCCATTCGTTCCCTATTCTCTATTTTCTCTCTGCCCCCCCCCCCCTCCTCCCTTCCAGTTCTTTTCCTCCTGCGATTCTCTCGTCTCCTCTCACTTGCCTTCCGCGTTCCCTCCTCCTTCTCTATTCTTTTGCTTCTGCCCTTGCTCCCCCCCTCCTCCCTTCCACCTTCCTGCATTTCCCCTCCCCCTCCCTCCTTCTCCCTTCCATCTCCCTGCATTTCCCCTCCTCCCTCTCCCCCTCCCTCCTTCTCCCTTCCATCTCCCTGCATTTCCCATCCTCCCCTCCCTTCCATCTCCCTGCATTTCCCCCCCCCCCCCTTCATCCTCCTCCCTTCCACCTCCGTGCATTTCCCATCCCCTCCTCCCTCCTCCTACCTTCCAACTCCCTGCATTTCCCATCCGCCCTCCCCCCTCCCCCCCCTCCCTCAACCTCTATGCATTTCCCATCCCCTCCCCCCTCCCTCCCACTCCCTTCCACCTCCCTCAATTTCCCATCCTCCATCTCCCCCTCCCTCCTCCTCCCTTCCATCTCCCTGCATTTCCCCTCCCCCTCCCCCCTCCCTCCCACTCCCTTCCATCTCCCTGCATTTCCCATCCTCCCCCTCCCTCTCCCTCCCCCCTCCCTCCCTCAATCTCCCTGCATTTCCCATCCCCTCCCCCCTCCCTCCCTCTCCCTGCATTCCCCTCCCCCCTCCCTCCTTCTCCCTTCCATCTCCCTGCATTTCCCCTCCTCCCTCTCCCCCCTCCCTCCTCCTCCCTTCCACCTCCCTGCATTTCCCATCCTCCCTCTCCCCCTCCCTCCTTCTCCCTTCCATCTCCCTGCATTTCCCCTCCTCCCTCTCCCCCTCCCTCCTCCTCCCTTCCACCTCCCTGCATTTCCCCTCCCCCTCCCCCCTCCCTCCTTCTCCCTTCCATCTCCCTGCATTTCCCATCCCCCTCCCCCCTCCCTCCTTCCCCTTCCACCTCCCTGCATTTCCCCTCCCCTCCCCCCCTCCCTCCTTCTCCCTTCCATCTCCCTGCATTTCCCATCCCCCTCCCCCCCTCCCTCCTTCCCCTTCCATCTCCCTGCATTTCCCATCCCCCTCCCCCTCCCTCCTTCTCCCTTCCATCTCCCAGCCTTTCCCATCCCCCTCCCCCCTCCCTCCTTCCCCCTCCCCTCCCCCCTCCCTCCTTCTCCCTTCCATCTCCCTGCATTTCCCATCCTCCCTCTCCCCCTCCCTCCTTCTCCCTTCCATCTCCCTGCATTTCCCTGCGGCTCCCCTTGTGCCATCCTGCCTCGGGGATGCCATTAGTAACGTGTGACTAATCATTAACTCCCTTGCTAATGAATGGGGGAGGGGGGAGGGAAGGAGGGGGGGATGTGGAGAGTCCTGAGCAAGCTTATCATGGTGGATGGTTTCTTGACTTCCTTTCCTGATGCTCTGCCTCTCTCTCTCTCTCTCTCTCTCTCTCTCTCTCTCTCTCTCTCTCTCTCTCTCTCTCTCTCTCTCTCTCTCTCTCTCATACTCTCCTACCTCTTATACCCTCCCTCCCTCCCTCCTTCCTCACCCTCTCCCTCCCTCCCTTCCTTCCTCACCCTTTCCCATCCTCCCTCCCTCCCTCCTTCCCTTCTTCTCTCTCCCTCCTTCGCCTTCGGGTAAATGCCCCGGGGCGCTGTACTCTCCTGCAAATGGCCACGATTGATCTACAGAAGGGAGTATGCGCAAGCCCACAGGCACGAACAACAAGCATACGCATACGCACATACAGACACGGGCAGACATGAAGGAAAACATACGGAGTCATACAGACAAAGGTGAGCGAGATACGAAAAGATGCAAATGCAATCATACGCAACCCTGCGTTTGGGCAAAAGAAGATGAAGAAGAAGAAGAAGAAGAAGAAGAAGAAGAAGAGGAGGAAGAAGAAGAAAGAGAAGAAAAGTAGCATACACAGCAAACAGCATCAACATACACAGCCTCCCTTCCCTTCCTACAAAATAAAAATAACATAAATTTTCCCACGGATGTACCTCCTCCTCCCTCCTCAAAAAAAAAAGAAAGAAAAAAAAAGAAAGACACTCCCTCCCCTCCCCCCCCCCCCAAAAAAAAAAAAAAAAAAATCGGCCAGAGAATGACACAGCAAATACAAGCTTGCGAGCGGGCGAGTGCGAGCTAAAATTCGTCACAAAGGCTCAAGTCAAGTCAGTCCCCCCCTCCTCCTCCCCCTCCCCCTCTTTACCAGACTCGAAAGCCCGGGTTTAAATCTGGATGCCAAGCGACCCTCTCCACACCCACGCCCACGCCCACACCCGCACGCCCTTCAACCCTACCATCCTCTTCCTCTCCTATATTCTATATACCTATTCTCTTTTCCCCTTTCTTTGTCTCCCTTTCCCCTCTCTTTTTTTCTTCCCATCCATTTATTATCCTCGTTTCCCCAGCCTTTCTTTCATCTATCCCTTCTCCCCCCCTCGCCTTCCCCCCCAACAAAAATGAAAATGATGCAACTATCATGACTGACATACTATAAAACTGACTAAATATGACAAAAAAGTATAACCAAGTAAATAACCTACACACTAATAATAAGACATGACACAACCAACGCCTGACATGACCCCCTGACATGACACCACCAAGCGGGATGACACGAACTGACCTTCTCTGCGTATCTCTTCCTCATCCTCTCTCTCATCTTCTCTCGGTTTATCTCAATCTTGTGTTCTTCCAGGATCCTTCGCTCCTGCTGTCTTGCGCGGTCTGGGGAGAAAGAAGGAACAAACGATAAGTAAATAAGAGGAGAAGAGACACAGGACACAAATAATCTAGGATAAATGATAGGAGAACACAAATAAAAGAAAACAGCAAATCTAAATGTACAATCAAGACAAAAATAAATTCACGAAAACAAATATATATATATATATATATATATATATATATATATATATATATATATATATATATATATATATATATATATATAACTGTTCCAAGCTATCTAACTAATGGCACGATGTAATAAAGGAAAAACGCCCCTACGGCACTTGCACGCGTACGCACTGGACACGCACAGGCACAGGCAATGTACTAACATACGTACAATATGCGAAAACGGCGTACAAGTGCACGCACGCACGCACGCACACACACACACACACACACAAACAAACAAACACACACAACACACACAAACACAAACAAACACACACCCTTCCCCCTCCCTCGTACTCACACTGCTTCTCGATGTCGTCGTCGAGGAGGAGCGAGACCACCTCCTTGGGCTTGAGGGTGTCCGGCTTGAAGTTGCCGCCGCTGATCACCATGCGCTGGATCTGCGGAGGGAGACGAAGGGAGAGGCGATAATGGGGGAGATGCAGCAGACGGAGATAATATGTATATATAGTTCTGCAATAATAATGGCGATAATATAAGTTGTTACATATGGCAATAACAATGCGAGTGCTAATAATAATAACAATAATAATGGTGGGAGAAATAATAACAATAACAATAATAATAATAATAATAACAATGAGAATAACAATAATAATAGTAATAACAATAATAATAATAATAATAACAATAATAACAATGAGAATAACAATAATAATAGTTATCATCATAATAATATTAATAATAATAATAATAATAATAATAATTATATCAGCAAAATCAATAATGACACAAATGGCGCACACTGTTATCAATGATTTCCAGACACGCGAGGCAAAATGACTGAAAACATGAAGCAACATCAGCACGGAGCAAATAGGCCAACCAAAGATAATATACCTCATTAAGTCCAAAATTTCACTCAACACGAGGACTCCTGACAAAAATATTACGCAAAACGACAAACAAACATAGGCGATAAAACCATCAAATCCAACAAACAAACAAACAAACAAACAAACAATAATAAAATACAAGCACGCGATTAACTCCCCAATTTGTAACGAAAAAAAAAAAAAAAAAAATCAATATTGCAACAGCCAGCTCATAAAAGATGAACTTTCTTTTAAAAGTCACAGGCGACATTAATAAAACTTGTCTCGCTCCTCCTACCCCCCCCCCAAAAAAAAAAAAAAAAAAAAAAAAAAAATCTTGTTCCTGGCGAGAGAGTTTCTCACAGTTTCCCACGCTCACACATGCCACATACAGTCATACATACACACATGCATTTGTTGACGTAAACGAGCACACATGACCCACACAGACATAGATATACATGGAAATAGGCACGCACGTATACTGGCATGCCGTCTCGCACACACGTACAGTCATGTACACACACATCGACACACACGCCAACACAAATACACACATACATACATGCACACATAATAACACAGGTACAAACACAAACACGCACGCATATATACACGCACACGAAACACATCCGCTCACGCACGCACGCACGCACATACACACACACACGCACCGACAAGCACACGAATATCCTGCATGCCAACCGATGCCATCTGTGGGAAACAAATAGCGGGAGGAACGAGGTGGCGCAAAAACACAACAGTGCAAAAGCAGAGACAGTCAAGCATAATCACAACCGCATTACTGACATTTTATTTCCTTTCCTACTGTCATGGAAGAGAGAGGGAGAGATGGAGGGAGAGGGGGAGAGGGAGGGGGAGGGTGAGGGGGAGGGGGAGGGGGAGGGAGAGGAGAGAGAGAGAGAGAGAAGAGAGAGAGAGAGAGAGAGAAAGAGAGAGAGAGAGGAAGAGAGAGAGACGGAAGCACAGAAAAGAGTGAGACACATATAATAAAATACATATAAAAGTAAAAGATGAACTCGAAAACGAGAAGTATGAAACCTAAACACAACCGCCCCTCCTCCCCCCCCTCTTCCTAGACGATCACCACCGCCCCCACCTCCACCATTCTCCACCCCCACCCACGCCCCACCTCCACCCACGCGCCCCGCCCCACACCCCCTCTCCACCGGGTGTCGAGAAAGTTACTCCCGCTTGCTTCAGTCTCCCCCAAGAAAGGCGAGCTCAAAGCCCACGTCTCGTTTTCTCTCACGGGCCACCCTCCGATCCCCGGCCCTCCCCCTTCCTTCCTCTCCCTCCTTCCTCCCTCCCCCTCTTTACCTGCTCCCCCCCCCCCCCCCCAATCACAAGACCCGCTGGCTGGCTCGACCGGCTCCCGTCCCTGCTTCTGCTTCTGCTAATGAGGAACAGCAGCATCCCAACGGTACAGAGGGAGGGGGGGGGGGGGGAAGGAGGAGAGGAAAGAGGTAGGAAAGAAAAGTGGCAAAGGGAAAGGGGAAGGATGGGGGAAGAAGAAGAGGGAGGTGGAAATGGGATGAGGAAGAGAGGGAAGAAGGGGAAGGGATGGAGAGGAAAGAGGAAGGGGGGGGGGGGAGTGACAAAGAGGAAATAAGGAAGGGTACAAAAGGGAAGGAGAATGGAAGATATTAGGTAAAAGGAGAAACGAAAAGAGAAACGAAAGGAGAGAGATAATGGAAGGGCAAAGAAAGAAAAGAAGAAGGAACAGAATTTGTAGGAAAGGAAGGAAGAGAAGGAGGAGGAGAAGAAGGAGGTGGAGAAAGAAGAGCAATAACAGTCGGGTAAGGAACAGACGCAAGATGAGGAAGAAAGTAGGAAGAGGAGGAGGAGGAGGAGGAAGGAGAAGTTAAGATATAACGCACCTGAGTCGCTCTCACGACAGGTGCACATTGGCAGAGGGGCGAGGGGCGAGGGGGAGGGGGAAGGGAGGAGGAAGAGGAGGATTACAGAAGCGAAACCCAACGAAAACAGGAAACGAAGGAAGGAGAAGGGAGCGGGGGAGAGAGGGAAGCAAATGACAAAAGAGAAAAGAAAAGAAAAGAAAAGAAAAAATAACAGATGGAATAATATATTCAAGAGCACCACCAACAATAATAACGATAATAATGATAATAATAATAATAATAATTTCAATGACGAGGATAACAACCACTAATAACCAACAAGAACAACAACAACACCAAAAAACACCAGAAAACTCACAACCACGCGACGGCACAATAGCAAAACACCCAAGCAAAACGCAAGAACACAGTCCAATTCCGAGAAATCATCCGTCAAATATAAATGTGTCAGTAGCCTAAAAAGAGAGAGCGAGAGCGAGAGAGAGAGAGAGAGAGACAGAGATAGAGAGAAAGAGAGAAAGAAAGAGAGAGAGAGAGAGAAATCTAAACACCTCTCAACACATGTCAACTTTTCAAACAGATGATCCCCCTTGCAACAAACGGTGGATACGAACCTGCAAATAGCAACAGATGCGCAACACACGCACACAAATGCTTCCCTTAAAATACAGGTGTTCATTAATTAGTAAAACAGATGTAGCTTGCAGGTAGCGGCTTGAGTGACCGGCCGCAGTTAAGTGTTGTCAGTAATAGCAAGTGTGTGTGGGAACAGCCTTATAAAAAAACAGGTACGGTAGGCAGCGGCAACTGGCGGGCGTGGGTTTTAAGTAGCACTGGGGATGAAGGAGGGGAGGGAGGGAGGTAAGGTGGAAAGGAGGGAGGGAAGGAACGAGGGGAGGGAGGGATGGAGGGAGGCAGGGAGGGAAGGTGGAAAGGAGGGAGGGAAGGAAGGAGGGGGGGGGAGGGAGGGAGGGAGGGAGGGAGGGAGGGAAGGTGGAAAGGAGGGAGGGGAGGGAGGGAGGGAGGGAGGGAAGGTGGGAAGGAGGGAGGGAGGGAAGGTGGAAAGGAGGGAGGGGAGGGAGGGAGGGAAGGTGGGAAGGAGGGAGGGAGGGAAGGTGGAAAGGAGGGAGGGAAGGAACGAGGGGAGGGAGGGATGGAGGGAGGCAGGGAGGGAAGGTGGAAAGGAGGGAGGGAAGGAAGGAGGGGGGGGAGGGAGGGAGGGAGGGAGGGAGGGAGGGAGGGAGGGAAGGTGGAAAGGAGGGAGGGAAGGAAGGAGGGGGGGGGAGGGAGGGAGGGAGGGAGGGAGGGAAGGTGGAAAGGAGGGAGGGGAGGGAGGGAGGGAAGGTGGGAAGGAGGGAGGGAGGGAAGGTGGAAAGGAGGGAGGGAAGGAAGGAGGGGAAGGAGGGAAGGAGGGAAGGTGGAAAGGAGGGAGGGAAGGAAGGAGGGAGGGAGGGAGGGAGGGAAGGAGGGAGGGAAGGTGGGAAGGAGGGAGGGAGGGAAGGAGAAGAAAGGAGGGAAGGAGAGTAGAGGGAGGGAGGGGAAGGAGGGAAGGAGAGTAGAGGGAGGGAGGGAAGGAAGGAGGGAGGGAAGGATTAGAAAGGAGAGTCGAGGAAGGGAGGGGAAGGAGGGAAGGAGAGTAGAGGGAGGGAGGGGAAGGAGAGGGAGGGAGGGGAAGGAGGAGGAGGAGAAGGGAAGGAGAGGGCGAGAGGGATATATAGAGAGATAGAAAGCGGGTAGTAGGGAGAGAGAAAGAAAAAGAGAAGACGAGAGAAGAGGGAGAGTGAGAGAGAAAGAGAAAGGGAAAGAGAAAGACGAAAGAGAGAATAAGATGGGAATGTATGCCAATATCAAGAACATTTTTTTCCTACTATATGCCTATACATTTTGATAGAGCATTGGCTTGAAGTTGCAAACACACAAACAAACATACAGTCACAGAAACATAGAAAAAAACACAGTTAAACAACAACAACAAAACACACACACACACACACACACACACACACACACACACACCTTTTAATCCCCAATCTCATCCCCATTCAATGCAATCCCTACTACCATCGCCGAAATCAGCAGTAAATCGAAAGACAAAGAAAAAAAAACGGAGAAAAAAATCTATTACCTCCTCTTAATTACTCAACAAGATGCATATAACCTTAAAGAAAAAAAAAGAAGAAGAAGAAAAAAAAAACGGTATCATTGTATTTAATCGCACTAATTACAGTTAAAACAATCGCAATTCCCACCGTTAATGACCTTAGACTCGCGCAAAAACAACAAAAACAGCATTAAAAGGAAAATAAACGGGGATGAGAGAGAGAGAGACAGAGGAGACAAGAGACAAAAACAAAAACAAAACAAAAAAACAAACAAGGTAATTTACGGGATCGTTTACCATCTCCTTACTTGCGTAGTGATAAAAATCCGAAGCAGAGAGAGAGGGGAGAGGGGGGAGGGGGGGAGGGAGCGAGGGAGAGAGAGATGGAAGGGGAGAGAGAGGGGGGGAGGGGGAGGGGAGGGAGAGGGAGGGAGAGAGAGAAGGAGGGAGGGAGAGAGAGAGAGAGGGAGGGAGAGGAGGGAGGGAGAGAGAGAGGGAGGGAGGGGGGAGAGAGAGAGAGAGAGGGAGGGAGGGAGAGAGAGAGGGAGGGAGAGAGAGAGAGAGAGAGAGAGAGAGAGAGA